CTTCAACTTTTAAGGAGTGGGGATTTAAACTCCTAGAATTCCTTGGGGTCTGGCTTCTCTAGAGCCCAGACTCTATGGTTGCTGGAGCTCAAAAGATGTACGGACTTCAACTTTTAAGAAGTGGGGATTTAAACGCCTAGAATTCCTTGGGGTCTGGCTTCTCTAGAGCCCAGACTCTATGGTTGCTGGAGCTCAAAGGATGTGTGGATTTCAACTTTTAAGGAGTGGGGATTTAAACTCCTAGAATTCCTTGTAGTCTGGCTTCTCTAGAGCCCAGACTCTATGGTTTTTGGAGTTCAGAAGATGGGTGGACTTCAACTCCCAGAATTCCCCAGCCAGCAAGTCTGGCTGGGGAATTCTGGATGTTGAAGTCCATCTATCTTCAACCTAGTTTAGAACAATGAAGTTCTAAACATTCGAACTTATTGCCAACTCAATAGCAAACTTGGTTTGTTTCCTATTAAAATACTCTCTCTTAACTATAGTTATCCATGATTGGACCAGAGAAATCAAGCTTTTCTGTGTGTCCCCCGCCCCCCTCTCCTCCATGAAATCCACCCCTTAGTGTCGATGCCACCAAAGAGACGGACCGCTTAGGACGTTTGGTGAATCACAGCAAGTGTGGGAACTGTCAGACGAAGCTGCACGACATCAGCGGAGTCCCCCACCTCATCCTGGTGGCGTCCCGGGACATCAAAGCTGGCGAGGAGTTGCTGTACGATTACGGGGACCGGAGCAAAGCGTCTTTGGAGGCCCATCCCTGGTTGAAACACTAAAGGGATCCCTTGCACGAGAGTAAGCATTGGGTTTTCCTTAAAAGAGTACTTGTTGGCAGCTCTTAGGGGAGATTACCTCCGAGATCTCGTTGGTGGCTGGCTAAGTAAGTAAGTATAAATATAATCTTTATTGTCATTGTGCTTAAATACAACGAAATTGGTTAAAAGGCCAACAGGGACAATGGAGTCTTCACCTGAACTGACATAAATATGAAAAGACTGACTTTATTATTGTTATTTCTTTTCTTCTTCTTCTTCTTCTTCTTCNGGACAAGAGTTTGCTTCAGGCTCTCGGGAAGCCTCGGTCAGGACACTATCAAACCAAAACAGAACCTCCATAACTCGGTTACGACAAACCATAGATGAACAAACTATGGCTTACTAAAAACACACCACCTTAGCCTGTGGTGTATGGTTCATTTGGCTACGTGCGCAAATTGAAATGATTCTCGTCAATAAACCCACCATGCCGAACCAGCCATTAGTGAAAACTCTACATTAGGGCTTGTACTCTGCAAGGTAGCCGGTTAGATAGTCCTCGGCTTAGAACCACCAATTATGTTGGTAAGCAAGGCCGTTGTTAAGTGATTGTATGCCCTTTGTTGCCACAAAATTGCTGCAGTGTGTTAAGTGAATCCCGTGGTCATTTTGTCACTCTGGCTTCACTCTGACTTCGCTTGTCGGAAGCTGGCTAGGAAAATCAGAAATGGGGAATCACGTAACCCCAGTAAAGTGCAACCATTTTAAATACACAAGCGTGCCAATTTTGGGGGGGGCTGGTGCAAGGGTCATAAGTGTGAGAAACAGTCATAAGTCTCTTCTTTTAGTGCCCTTGTAACTCCGAACAGCCACTAAAGTTGAGAAAAAATCCTTTCTCCGGGACGCGAACTCTCTAAAAATTGGGAAGCCGTGTTTACAAAGAACCAGGCCAAGGGTTTTAGAAATCGAAGCTTGTAACTTTATTCTGCTGGCTGCAGACATATAAACCTTTCCAGTCAACATTTATCGTGGCCAAGGTATCGCCAGAATATCCACCTTTAAACTCCTGGAGGTTTTGAAGGCGGCAGGTTGAAAAAGTTTTATGCCAACGAGAAAAATGGAAGCAGATAATACCGACTTGCGATAAAACCGGAGGTTGAAGCCTCTGCCAGCCGCAGGGAATCCCCAAACAGTCTTCAAGTATTGCGACAGCTGCTTTTCTTAAAAAAACATTTTGACTTTTAAAAATTGTGACGTCCCAGCGCGGAAATAGTTCATCGTAACTTTCTAAAGGCGAACCTGCATTTTGAAGGAAAGTGTATGAGTGGCAGGAACAGAATCTGAATTCCTATAGATAAAACCAAGTGTAAAACTTAAAGGAATTCTCTGCACGAGCCAATATTTTGCACGCTTGAATGCTTGGAGTGGTTTTTTTGGTTCCACCACAAAACCGCGGTAGACAAAAGCGCGCTCGACGAAAGCGCGTACNTTCCTTCCTTCTTCTCTCTCCTTTCTTCTTCACTCTCCTTTCTTCTTCACTCTCCTTTCCTCGGCTTCGCAGAGATCCCTGCTTCGATGCGGCCTTCCCGTCTGCATGGACATCTCGTGAACCGTTCGGATTTCTACGCTCGAGGGACGTATTTTTTTTATATACAAACGCAAACACTTCAATCTTGAAACTGATCGAAGAGAGAGTGAATTTGGGGAAGAAAAACCTGGTTTCCTCCTTTTCTTAGCCGGGCACCCCGTGAAAGCTGACACGAGAACATTTGAGGGACCGTCTAGCTTTCCTTAGAGGTGTTTGGGCCTCCTTGTCCAGGATGATCACCTCCGCTTTGGGAGGTGGGGCTGGAGATTTGGGGTGATCTCTGCCTCAGAAGCTGCGGGGGAGAAGATCATGTCTCTGCTAAGCGGCCAGGAGATGCTGGTTCAGGAGAGCAGCTGGAAGAACCAACCCCCCCAAAAAACCCCGTGGTCTCTTCAAAGTAGCCCCTTTGCAGCCTTATTTTTTTTTTTAGAAAGAGGAAGAAAATTGGAAACCTGTTTTAACTCTGCTGGGAATCACTGGACTTGTCGTCAAGAAGGAACTACAGAGCTTGCAGTGTGGAAACCAGGGTCAGCTTGTCCTTCAAGAACCCGGTTTCCCCGGGGTCTGGTTGTGCGCTGCCTGCCATTTTATCATTATTATTTTTTTGCTATTGTGAGCCATCCCCCCCAAAAAATCGGCACGGGCGAGCGGAGGAAGGAAGCGAAGGGAGCCAGGGAGGCAAGTTGGGACTCTGGCAGGCGCTAAACAGCCTTCTTGCTTCGGCAAAGTCCTCAGCTGGGAGAAGAGACCCAGCCGTTTGAACATTGGGGTTTGATTCTCGGTGCTTTCTGGTACCCCGAGATCTTCTCCCCAGGTTTGCAAAAGAGGTTGGTGGATATGGGGTTGAGAAAACGCATCGCAGGTGGCCACGGGACGTCGAAAACCAGCGGAGGAATTGAGCCGCGCTTTGTATTTTGCTCCCTTCTGTCTGTCTCTCTCTTTTTGGGGGGAAGAGAAGTGGAGGGAGGGGGGAAACCTGCTTTTAATGGAATTTGGGCCTCGTTCTTAAACAGGGACTTTTAGCCACGGAAGAGGCTTTTAGGATGAAATCACTTTCCACCTTGACTATTTGGTCAGAGAATTTATTTAACTCGGCGTTCCCGGACGTGTAGAAACAGGCCAAGTGGATCAGGGTGAATGGAATGGGTCGTCTCCCGGGGGGGGAAAAAAAGAATGGATCGGGACTACATTCCCCAGAATTCTCAGCTTTCATCCCTGGTGTGGGGGGGAGGGGGCTAGGTGAAGGCTGCCGTAAAGCACTTTGGGGCGGAGGGGGGAGAGAATTGGGAAAGGCGTAAGGATCAGGAGGCAGAATGGAGAAACGTGTTTTCCAAGTTTTACTTCCTGCTGGAAATTCACATACGCCATTTATTTTTTTCCCCTCCGCCTGCTCTCCGGAAGGATGGGGAATGACACACCTGGCTGGGAATCCTGGGAAACGTAGTCCCAGCTGAGCGCCACACTCTTGCAGGGAGAGAGAGAGAGAGAGAGCGCGAGAGAGAGCACTGTTTGAATAAAGCTCCGATACCCTGACGTTGGCGCTACAGAAACCGGGGACCTGAGGGCGATGGTGTGTTTTTTTAGAAATGATGAACAAAGGAATGATCTGAAGAAAATTATTTCGCTGTACGAGAGTATAAATAAAGTGAACTATTTATTAAAAGAGAAGGCCGCCTTTTTCTTCCCGACTGACAGCCATGGAGGCGTTGGTTGTTCATATGGACATCTGAGTGAGCGCGAGGTTGCTTTCCCCACATCGTACTGGCACGCTGCCGTCTTCCTTTCTTCAAATCGTGGTTTGTCTGTCCTGTGGCTGAAACGGCAACCTGGCATAGTAGAATGCATGAACCAGGTTTGGGTTGACCAATTCTCTGAACTACCTGTTGTGTCGCGCCGGCATCCAGCAGAGCTGGCAGCAGAGTCGGACAGTGAGGAGGGTTGGGGAGGAACCTGGGCCAGTCCTGGAGTCTGGGGAAGGCTCTGATGGGGGCTATGTGTCGGAGGCAGAGAGGGGGCCAGGGCTGTCTGACAGTTATCAGCTGCCTTCGGAGTCGGACATCAGTGGGGCAGAAGAACAGCTGGAGCCTGTTCCCATGCGCAGAGTGGCTAGATGAAGGGAAGAGCTAAAGAACGGGGGTCGACTGGGGAGTAAGGCCACAGGTGGACGGTGAATGGCCCCTCCCAGAGGAAATAAAAGCGACAGGGGAGTGGAGTTTGCAGGAGACCATTAATTCGCTTAATTGGTTCGTGACTCTCCAAGACTCCTTGCCAAGTTTCTGCAGATCTCGGCCTGGCAGCTCTCCAAGCCAG